GGCTGCCCCTTTGACAGGCACCAAGGTCAAATGCACCTCTGGGATGCCACAGAGGTGGCTCTAGTACATAGTCCTTTGGGTCGTGGAAACGTGCCGCTAATTCAAGCTCACCTTGACCCAACAGCCACCCTCAGTGTAGATCCTGGAGGCTGTAATCCAGGATGGAGGGCAGGACTGGGAAGGTAGACCATGGTCAGCTTTCTCCTGGCTCAGAATGTGCCCTACCTCCTTTCCCTGCTTGACTACATTGGAGACAACTCAGTGCTCTTGGCTTCTCCTATAGTGACCTCATAGTCATAAAGAATCTCCAGGGTCCCGGCAGTGGTTTCTTAAAGCCAAACTGTCACTCATCCAGTCATCCCTTATCTGTCTGCTCATCCATCTATCCACTCACCAGCCTACATACACAGCTGTCATTTAATCTAGCTGGCCACACACACACACACACACACACACACACACACACCCCTACATGCTATCTATCTATCTATCTATCTATCTATCTATCTATCACCTCCCATTCATTAGTTCACCCATCTGTCCACCCATCCACCCATGCATTCAGGCCAGTGCTCGGTTATGGCATCCCGAGATCAACCATATGGACTTGACAGATCTCCATGCTCAACTGACTTGGATTCTAGTAATGGCAGAGGTAATATGAGCAAGAACACAAAAACATCAATGAGAGATGTTACAAAGAACAACCACCCTTGGGGCAGGGGTTCTGTACATTGAGTAGGGCAGGGCAGCTTCTTAGGGGGAAACTGTGAGCTGAACTGAACGAGGACAGAGTCAGAACTGAGGGGCAATGCTAAGTGCATGCCAGACAGCAGGCAGCACACACAGACAGACACCTAGGTGGACAAGAATCCAGCTTGACCATATTCTACCAGAGGGCTGTTCAGCATTGTGGCCTCCTGGATGCGCCAGAACCACCAGGCATGGTCAGGCAGCATTAGTATTTCCTAGAGCTTGTAAGAATGCTGCCAAAGATGCCGCCTCAGAGCCTGACATCCTTCTGCATTTCCCTTAGGTCCCGAGTCCTGGACAGAGAAACCAGGCACATTCACTGGAGTAAACAGCACCCCCAGGTGGTCGATACTGGTTCTTGAAGGGCCTGAAGGGTGTGTGTTCCACACGTAAAGAATGCACTTGCGGGGTGCTAAGAACACACTAGCGGGGTGCTCCATTGAAACCACGGGTGTGTGGGAGGCCATTAGGAAAGCAAGCTTTAAAAGGCTGGGAACAATGATGATGGGAAGGCTGAACACACAGCCCCAGGAACAGTACTGTTCAGGCCTCCTGAGGGGCTGCTCTTCAGTGCATTTCAGGGGACAGATTTGTCCAATGGGTTGGTTCAGCTTTAACACTCAGAACCCAGAGTCCTGGGACCCACTCAGTTCCAGGAACCACTCACCACACTGACTGCTGTGCCTTGCCTAAGGATGGGGTGGGGTCCTGAAGCATTGGACAGCACTCTCCCAGAGGACAGGGCGGGCAACAGTCACAGAGCATGTTGCTGTTAAATTCTCTTTCCTTTTGCTTCTCTTGACACCATGGTTTGAACCTTTGACCTCCAGGACTATGGTAGCCCATGGCTGTTGTTTTAAGTGCCCCAGGGTGGCCAACTGTTCCAGTGGTGGCACAGTAGCCAATGTGCCCGGAGTTTGAAGGATGGGCGACTCCGGCTTGAGTGAGGGGGCCTTAGCCAGACCTGTGAGCCCAGAGGAGGAAGAGACATGTGACTTCAATTTCCTGGCACCTGCCAACATGTCCTACGGTGAGAATGTCTCTCCCAACCCATTGTACTGTTTAAGGACCCAAGATGGGCAGAGGATACAGACAGAGGGCGCTGATGATGGGTCAAGGAAGCCATGAGGGAGATGCAGCTGACGTGAGGCCCATTAAACACAGAACAATTAAAAATGCATTCAGCTTCGATTTCCCAGAGCCCTTTCCAGAACGTAAATACCAGACCTGCCATTAAAAATGTATTTATTGTGATTACACGGGAGAATTCTTGGGAGGCTCAGTGTGCATTCAATAAATGTGTCTTTAATAACCCCATTTAATATGTGTTCCCCAGGCATTGGCACCTGAACCATCTATTCCACGGGCCTCAAATGCAGACAGCAGGTAGGCAGCACCCAGTCAAGAGCCAGCGGGCATGCTATGGGCCCATCAGTGTTCCTTGCTCTGTCCCATTGTGGGAGCAGATAAGAGCAGATGACGACACTCCAATGAGAAGATGTGACCAGAATAGCATGGAAACCACCAGGAATCAAGTGCATGCTGGGTTACTGACAAACTGGCAAAGTTTAGATATATTGTCAGACTAGTGTTTGGAGCACTGGACCCTCCCCTCCCCGGGTGGCAGCTGTGAGCACAGGACCCTCCCTGGATCAGAGCACAAAGACAGACTCCGCTCAAAGGCCCATAAGCAGCCAGAAAAAGTAATGGCAGTGCAGGCTTCAGAACAGTGTGCAAAATGGAAGCCTGGTTTCTGAGCAAAGAGAAAGGAATGTAAAACTTCAGCTCAAGTCTCCTTAGACTATGAAGTCTGTGCAAGCGCATCAGCACAAAAAAAAAAAAAAAAAAAAAAAAAAGCATAATATAAACACAGAAAGTCACTGCACCAGCAGAGGAGATGGGGAAAGTTTCTGGAAATGACTAGTGCTTCTGAATGCATTTTTAATCAAGCCGAGAAAACGTCTGCGTGGAGAGACAGTGATGAGAAAGGAGAAAGGAAGGGGAAAAATTAAAATCTCTTGCTTTGCTTTGCTTTGCCTTGCTTTGCTTTGCTTTGCTTTGCTTTGCTTTGCTTTGCTTTGCTTTGCTTTGCTTTGCTTTGCTTTGCTTTGCTTTGCTTTGCGGGAAATCCAGATTTAGACAACATCGTCCTAGGGATGTTTTATAAGCCATCTCCTTCCACCTCACCACCTCTCTCCCCTCCATTTCACCCATCTCAGACAGATAAAAAACTGAGGCTCTGTAAAGGAAGTGGCCTGACCCTGGGGGTGGATTGGCCTCTGGGGTTCCCCATCTGCTTCTGAAGAATTCAGAGCCTGTCACTCAGGAGTCCTGACCCCAGGTAGCCTTCTCTGTCCTCCATATCCCAAGAGGTCCCAAAGTTAGTAAGACCTACACCTACACCTTTTGCAAGTGCCTTGCAAAAGCCTGACTACCCCCAGGAAAGCAGCTTGCTCTCCAAACACCAAACTCTGTTCCAGAGACTTCCACTTCCTGCTCCTTTAGCCAAGCTGAGAGTGGAGGGAGCCAGCATTCTGGAAATCTCTAGGGAAGGTATCCGAGGGGGTGGGGAACAGAGCAGCCCAACTGCCAGTTTCCAAAGTCTGGGGATTTTTGTTTAACGTACAAGAAGAATGAAGGCTACCTCCAACCATACGGCAGTAAAAGGAGACACTCCACCTGGTAGAAGTCCTCCCCAGGTCCTCCACACTTGTCCTCCCCAGGTAACACCTCCAAGCCAGACTTCTAGAGTTAATCCCCAGGGAAGCCAACGCTGCTAGAATTTGTGTTTATTCGTCTATGCATTTTTTATTATGTGTGCTATGGGACATGTACGGGGAGTCAGAGGACAGCGTGAGAGTTCTACTTCTATTGCGTGGTTCCAGGGATTGAGCTCAGGTTGTCAGGCTTGGCGGCAAACACTTTTATCAACTGAGCCACCCCACCAGCCCCACCAATGGGATTTAAGGTCTAATTCATTCTGCAGCAGTATTCACCCTCCTCAAGTGCCAGAGCAGCAAGGTACATTGAGAGCTTACCCTCCACACAGGAGTGTGGCCCGTTCCTGACCGCTATTCCCAGCATTGCAGGAACAGATTGGTGTGTGAAGAGGTGAGTTCCTACCTGAAGGAGCTGGCCCAGAAAGGCTGGAGAGGCATGACAAAAACTCAAGGGGTCTTAGTACAGGTGGCCCTAGGAAACACTGCCATCACAAGAAAACAGAACAAAACAATTCCAGGCGCCATCAGAGCATATTCCTAACATGCCACAGAGCTGTGACAAGTGGGGTGTCAAGTCTTTCTGATACAAGCAAGCCCAAACAAAAGAGAATCCCATGGCAGGCATTGCAAGTGGCTTTTCCTGCAAGCCATTCTGATGAGGCTGGCACAGGGATGCAGGCCTGGTCCCAGCACTCTGGAGACAGAGACCGGAAATTGCATGATGAGTTTCCAGGCTAGCCTTGGATACAGAACGAGTCGCTATCTCAAACAAACAAACGGCCCCAATTGGCAGGTATTTTTCAAACCCAAATTAAAATGAATTAATCACTACTGGAAAAAAAAAAAAAAACACAGAGAAGGCAAAATGATCCCACACCAAGAGTGACTGGAGTGGTAAAATTCCCGTGGGAGGAAAGACTCCCACCCGAAGCCCAGAGAGGTCCTCGTGCTCCGAGCAGGGCTGGCGATGATAATGGCCAAAATGGTCTCTGCAGCCTCCTCCCTCCTCTCCTCTCAGACATCAAAGACAGGCTGATGTCCTTAGGCCCAATTCATGTTTCACATATAAAGAGATATCCCGCCTGGGTGGGTTATTTATTTACAGTTCTTTGGCTAAGCCGGAAAGAAAGCAAACTACCCCAACAATGAGGCCAGCCCGAGCTTTGGGGGGCTTGGGAGCTGCCTATAGAGTCCAGAACAGAGCCAAGGATTTTGTGCAGTGACCTGGATTCACGCTGCCAGCCTCCTCCTCCGGGGAGGAGGCAAAAAGAGCCAGGAGAAAACAAGAGACAGAAAAGAGCCAGGAATGAAGCCTTCCAAACAGTTGTCCATCTGCCAGAGCCCTTTGTCCCCCTGACGAAACTCCTAATCCGCTTTCGACGTCTCCATTATGTCTTTCCAGTCACTGAAAATTGGTGGGCCCAATACTGGGAGGGAGCTGCTGGAGCCTGGGTGGGACTCCATCCTCAGCCTGGGAGACGATGGCACACAGGTATAGGAAGAGAAAAACCCATCGGGCTGACTTACCGCCACAGAGAACTTTCCAGAACCTTCCCCATGTCTGCATGGTAGTACTTTGTCAGGATCAAGATGACCTGTGGTATCAACAGAAAGGAAAATGTGGACATCAGCTGGTTTCCAGGTTCTGAGACAGGAAGACTGTGACACTTCCCACCCCAATGCTAAGGATCCCTCAAAACCCACTGCCTGACAGCCGTGTATCATAACACTGAGACAGGGCCTTGCTTCTGCTTTGGAAACTTCCTTCTTCTCTTTAGAGTGGGTCTGAAGACATCCCAACTCAGCCGCCACTCTGTGGAAATCATTAAACTCAGCCTCAGACAAGCTCAGACTGTGGCCAAACACTCAGCGAAGCTCTGGTCCCAGTATGCACACTGTGACGATTACCACAGCTGGACAGGATCTAGAATCGCCTAGGAGGCAGTCTCTGGACAGGTCTATGATGGTTTTTCTAGACTGAGTGGGACGACCATGAGGTGGGTGGTACCATGCCATGGGCTGGGCCCTGGACTAGGTAAAAAGGAGAGAGTGAGCTGAGCATCAGCATCTATCTCTCTGCTTCCTAACTGTGGATGCAAAGCCACCACAGCTGCCTCATGCTCCTGCCCCACCATGATGCCCCCCCACTGTGCCCGGCAATCGTGAGCTGAAACACACCCTCCGTTATTATTCTTTTGTCTGGTATTTTGTCACAGCAATGAAGGAAGTAAAACAAAACAAGCACCAAGTGTATCTGGCAAGATGTTGAAGGCAGGGCTGTATTGCACCAATGCACCAGTGCTGCCCTTGCAAGCCACGGAAATCTCTGCCTGATGTGGCTGACCTAGAGAGAAGCCAGCCCCTGAGGCTGTGCTGCCATTCCTTGTCCTGGACTGCAGAGTGATGACAGGGGTTGGGAGGGGAGGGTGACAGCCCAGAGGGGTCTATAAATCACCAGCTGACACTTTTATTTGTTAAAGTATTCAACACACAGGGGGCCCATGACAGAGTAGCTAAGAAAATACAACTACTCAGAGAATGGAAACAAATATGTTGCAAAGCGCCCGGCTGGGTGATCTTCAAAACCCATGCATATAAGACAAGGGGGGGGGAGAGAGGGAGAGAGATGGAGGGAGGGAGGAAGGGAAGAAGGGAGAAAGGAAGGAAAGAAAGAAGGAAGGAAGGAAGGAAGGAAGGAAGGAAGGAAATTCAGGGGGAGTCAGATTGATTGGCAATTACTCTGCTTGTGGCTGGATTCTCACCTACATCAAACTCCATTTCATTCACTGCCAGTCCATATTACCAACACCTAACAGTCCTGTTGTCATGGGAACCCTGGGAGGTGAACCTAGGCACTTTTGGTTCTGGCAGAAGTCCTTAGCCTCCTTAATTTGGAGTTACCATACTGGCCATGTCCACCCCTCTGCTCCTCCCTCATCAGGAGCAGAACTTTCCAGGCACGGGTCCCAAGAGGCTGACTGATCAGGTGTCTGTTTTTCCCTGATGATTAGAGCGGGGAGACAGAAGGAGAGGGTGTCGGTGAGCTGGGGCAGCTTATAGCCAAGAGGCAGCGATGATTAAAGAGAAAAGCATAGCCTTGTCAAGAAGGCAAGATTGGCTCTGCCTCTGAACAAAGCGATTTCCTCCCGTCAGCGCATGGCCTGCCCAGTCAAAGATGATCCTCCAAATACAGAAGAGGTAGGCAGTGACAGGGCCTGGCTGGGCAGGAGACAAGTGTGGTCTTTACCTATTCGTTTATATGTCATATAGTCTGCTATCCCAGAGGGCTTCTGAGGAACTGGAGTGTGACAGCTGGAAGGGACTTCAAAGTCAGTTTTACCCACTTGCCCAGGATAAAATCATCACCCTGACCTGGTCCATAGCCCAACGCCACCAGGTGGGGCTCACCCTCCATTCTGGGACCAGGTCCCTGGAGGCACAGAAGCTGAGAGGTGGGCAGTCTCCCCAGAACTTCCATCTTTGTGTTCAGCTTCTATCTCTGGGGATGGGTCCACTCATCCCGCCTAGGGGCCGTCTCTACTCAAGACTACGCCTCATGCCATACCCATGCCTTTGTATACAACTCTGTCCTGTGTGTAAGTGCCTTGCCTGGCACCCTCTGCCCTTACATTATCTGTGGTGATTCGAATGAGCATGGACTGCATAGGCTCATATATATTGGATGTTTGGTCCCCAGTTGGTGGACTATTTGGGAAGGATTAGGAGATGTGGCATTGTTGTAGGAGCTGTGTCATGGCGGGTAGCCTTTGAGGTTTCAAAAGCCCACACCAGGCCCAGACTTGTGATTGCACGCTCTCTGTCTCTGCACCCAGCCTGTAGATCAGGATGTAAGCTCCCAATTATTGCTCCAGAATCATGTCTGCCTGCCTGCTGTTAGATTCCTCACCATGACTATGGACTGACCCTCTGAAACTACAAGCAAGCTCCCAATTAAATGTTTCCTTTTATAAGTTGCCTTGGTCATGGTGTCTCTTCCAAGCAATAGAACAGTAAATAAGATACTACTCCATCTCCTGGTCACTCCATTAGCCTGTAGACCTCTGTCTGCACCATAACACCTCTAAGAAGGTTTCCGGACCCCTACACTAGGTTCAGCTCCTTGAATACACCATACAAAGCTCATAGTCCTATCCTGTGTATAAATGTGAGCACTGGACAGTACTGGTCATGGGGCACACTATGTAAACACCATGCTGCTGGGTCCTAAGTAGCAAAAAAAAAAAAAAAAAATCAATACAATGATGACAGACAGGGGTCTTCTTAACTCTGACTGCATACTCACAAGTCACCCCCACTTCCATGAAGAGGACATGCCCTTCAATCCTTGTTTTGGAGGACTGAGTCACTGTGCCACCATCCCCTTATAGCCCAGTGGAAGTTTGGGCTTCCAAGTTGGAAGCCTGGGATCATCTTGCTAGGGACAGCAACATGGAGGCTACTTAGATGATCTGGGACTGCCTGCAAGAAAGAAAGTCACCACCTAACACCCACCCCAGTCTCCTGCTCTATGGTGACAAAACAATGGAGAATGCCCACAGCCATAGCCATAGGCATGGCTGTACCCTGACAATGCTGTACCCTTTCACATACAGAGCCCCTAAGGTGGTCTAATTTGTATTCCCGTCACTCAGACTGAGAAACCAAAACACAGAATCCAAATGTCTTGCCAAACCATCCATGCTATGGTCCAGACTGGGTCTCAGTCCCAAGTCTTCTCAAGCAAGCACAGGCTCCTCGATGTCGGGCCAGAAGCAGTTTCAGAAACTTCTATCAGATGTGGTTTCAAGGACCTCAGAATTGTAACACACCCTTCAGGGGGCCTGGCTACAACTCCCAGACACAGGCTACAGCATGGGTGGAGTTCCCACAACTGCAGGCATTTTCATCTGCACAGAAAGGAAGAAGGAATGTTGACGCTCTCTTGACAGGGGCTGTCCACACCCCTGGCCCACAGAAGCCCTGCCCAGATGGCAGGAACCACCAAGCAGGAAATAAAAACAGCTCCCCGATGGAGCAACAGTCACTAGTCACCTTTATCGTCACCCTGCATCTCGTCTCACTTCTGATCTTCTGGGTCTTAGGAACTGGCCCCCTTTTGTGGTTATCTCAAGGATGCTGGGTACCTCATTTTCTGACCATGCAGAGCCCATTTGACCTTGACTGACTGACCACAGGAGAGACGATTACAATCATCCCTTTTAATGCCTAGGAGACTGATATACCAATCTAAGAAACACACGTGACGTCATACACAGTACGCACATCACGCCCAAGCCCAGGGCTTCCCTGGGCTCACTGTTCATCACTGTCCCCAATGCTAGTGACCTGACTTTCCCAGCACTGGCCATAAAGATTCTGGTGGTCCTCCATGGCACTGAAATCTAACCATGACATCCAGTTACGGAGGCTTGGAGACCACCAATCTGGGAGCCCCATGGAGAACAGCACCTGGCCAACATTGCTGTTAAGGGATAAACCCAAGCCAGATATTAAGCCCTATGAGCCTGCCCCCCACCTCCAATATGGGGCTCATTTCCAAATAACCTGACACTGAGGCTCTGGGGTTTGCAAAGTGGCTGTCATGGGTCAGTCAGCAAGTCCACCGAGACCTTCCTCCTACCCCATCAGCATTGGCTTGCCAGGCCAGCTATTCTCAGATTGCTGCAGGGAAAGCCCCAGAGCATCAGGAAAGGGTCTCAGTGTCATGTGACACTGACTCTGTCCCCGCTGTACCCCAAGGTTTCACCCAACACAGTAAACCAAGAAACCAGCACTTTGCATCTGAACCCACAGACCTTAAGAACGGCTCTAGATGTGGCCATCACCTGTCTGCTTGTCAATGTGCATGCTGCTTCCTCGGTGCCATTAGGACCAGAAACCAGGGAGGCCCTTGCCCCCCACACTTTCAGAACAGCTAGCAGAGCAGGGTTCAGAAGCAGTTTGCCTTCCTGGAGCCAAGAATAATCACAAAGGAAGGGGGTTGAAAGCCAACGAATTCTCAGGCCCAGTTCACTGCCAATCAACAGACACCATGTGGCACCAGGAAGGTGGAGGGAGGAGAAGGGTGACTCCCCCCCCCCACCCCAGGAAGGGAAGGAGAAGAGGAAGGAAAGGGGCTTTGTGGATCCAGAACCAGAAATCACAACAAAAGAGGCCAGGATCAGTGGTCCATTTACCAGGGAGGCCCCATGAATTAGCAGATCCTCCTGCCCAAGTAGAACAGCCTGCCTTGGTGTGGTCTAGCCTGGGGTCTCATTCCCCCTAGCCCAAGATCAGTCACCAGGCCTCCCAGATCTACTTGTCTGTGCAGATCCTGGTCAGGCCACACCTCAGACACACATATTCAGAAGCTGTCCCAGTGCTTAAGTTCCATCCATCCTCACCGGGGTCAGAGCTCGTGTCTCCCTGGAAGCCTGCCTGGTCCTCTTCGTCCATCCTCGTTGCCACTGCTTGGCTGGTAGACCAGCCTCTGACAGGCAGCTTCTCTACCAAGACCTCATTACCATGACTACCTTAGGCCCCACACCTTCTACTCTGTGCCTGTGCCTCCCTCTCCTCATCATTCTTAAGGCCC